CAAGTGTTACCAGACTAGTCATCACCCCTAGGGACCTGTAGTGTTTCTCCCTGTATGCCTACCACTACTGTATGTTTCAGTGGGCCTGCCTTCTGAACTAATGCGAGGTACTGTCCGTAAATCAGTCCAGTCCTTGTGCTCTTTCTGTGCTCCGTCCACACCCATCCTGTTCTGAGTCTGGGGAGGGGAGCTGCATGACTGACCTCATCGCTTAGGCAACGAACCCTGCCTCACATCCTGAGGAAACATAGGAGAAAACAATGAGCAGAATCGGCGTTCAGGTCCAGGAAATACAGCAGGAGATGCAGGCTCTGCCACCTCTTATGGAAGTTTTTGACCAATAAAAGTTAGTCATGCTCTCTGTCCTATCCACCCCCCCCCCCCCCTCTCTTTTGCTTTTATTTCCCCAACTGTTTCTCTCTCTTTCTCTCTCTCTCTCTCTCGACTTGTTTCTTGGCTCTGAGAACAGTGCTGATTATTTTCCTGACGGGTCAGTGTAATGGAGCAGGAATCAGAGTTCCTGCTGGATTCTTCCCACATTACTCAGGCTGGGAATCCCCAGGGCATGTTGTTCAAATAGCTCAGTGTGGAGGATTCCACAGAGCATGGAAAATGGCTGGCTGTTTTTGGAGGTTGGTTGGTGTGATTCAGTGTTGTTGCACAAGCTGAACTTGGAGAAGAGGAACAAGACTGTCTATCCTTGAGGTTTCACACCCCCTCCCCCAACACACACAAACTCACAAGCTCTCTCACTCATCTATTGGTGCGAGTTTGTTCTCAAGGTCTAAATGTGACTGTGTCAAAATGGTCTTTTAGACTTTCCCCTGTCATCTGATTTACTGGTCTGTGGGGAAGTGCTTTTATTTTGGTCCAGCTCGCTCTTCAGGGGAGTGTCATCTTTCGGATATGGGGCTGCTTGGGCGGGTATTTTTGGTGGTGATTATTTTGAAGCCATTGACCCAATCTTGCGTCAATATCTTTCTGTCTTTCTCTGAGACACCACACCACTCTCTCTGTCACTGTGTCCCTACTCCCTTCAGTATGTCTTTACACTCACTGTTCACCCTTCTCTCTCTGTGCTGCATACTCCCTCTCTCCCTACCCTCCTTCCCTATCTGCTATTCTCCTCTTTGGTATTTATCTCTCCACCCTTCTCTGGCCCCGGTCTCTCCTGGTTGATATAAATATCATGTTGGGAAGGCCTGATGGGATAGTGTTTCTTTCTACATGGGGCTCTGGCCAGTTCTGCTCTCTGCCCCCAGCTATAAACAGGTGAGTTGTGGACCCTGGTGGCCCATCACTGTATCCAATGTGTTAAAGATGTGGGAAAGATTAGCTTGCCTGTCTGCCTGCCTGCCTGTTAACCTGGGAAGCATGGCACTCTGGGCCTGCCATGGGTAATAAAAATTGACATCTCTCTTCTCCTGGAATTTCAAGTATGTGGTACTTTGTTGATCTGGCCCTGTTATCTAAATTATATTATAAACTGGGTGATTTGAGCCCTGAATGCTGATTGGCTGACAGCCATGGTATATCAGACAGTATACCACAGCTATGACAACATTTTATTTTTACTGCTCTAATTACGTTGGTAACCAGTTTATAATAGCAATAAGGCACCTCAGGGGTTTGTGGTATATGGCCAATATACCACGGCTAAAGGCTGTGTCCAGGCACTCCGCGTTGCCGTGGTATATTGGCCATATACCACAAACCCTCGGGCCTTATTGCTTAAACGTAGTACTTTGATTGTTTTGAAACTAAAGACAGATAAACATTTTTTTCATTCCTCTCTCATCTGGAACCTAGTTGTAGTGCAACTGATTGAATGATGGTTTCTGTCTTGCCAAATATAGCCTGTATTATAAAACATTGTATTCTGTGTTTTCTCTTTTAATATTTGTTAATTTCATGTAGGTTACATATTACTGATGTTTATAGTCCCTGGGTAAACCAAATCATCCCTCTCTTCCATTCTTGGCCTCCATCTCATGCCTCTCCTCTGCCACCCTCCTCTCTGTATCCCTGGCTGCTTTCTCTCTCGGAGGCGGACAGTGGAATTTGTCGAATTCCCCATGTACCTTCCCGCCAATCAGATAAAAACTGCAGGGCTTTGGTATGGTTAGGAGGAGGGGGGCTATGGACAGAGGCAAGAATCTACACGTACCCACCACCCAAAGAATGCACATACAGTATGCACACAACACAAGGCTGTTGGCCTATGTTTGAACATTATGACTTTATGTGAAGATTCTTTCAATGAAAGGGCAGGACAGGAAGGACAGGAATGTATTGCAAATCTATTTAGGTCATAGAAGCTACAATAAATAGTCAGATGAACTGATCTCTATGGCATTTAGCCCTGCTTAGAATCCACAAATGGCAGAATAAATGCGTTTCCCATAGAAAACAGTTATATAAATAAAAACAATTCTCAGAAATAGTCAGTATTTCCTCTGAAAATGATTGGACTTTACCCATCTCATGACCTTTACCCCCCCCCCCCCCCCGGTATGGAAAAGATAAGTCTGTTACTTGGCTTACAGTACTTTTGCATTCTTAATGCCACTAACTCCCCCTAGACCAACTCAGGCCACAGATCCTCTACTCATTGTTCTTAGTTTGTTAACGAACTATTCATTTACAATGAAGGTGGGTAGTGGGTACCAGCTTTGCTGTATGTGATCAAGCTAGCGACACCCTTGAGAGTAGTCTATACATTACCCAAATATCCATGAAACACTTAATCAGATTTGGACTGAGATCTCTGACTGATCAGTACCACAGGGGTTGGCCAGTGTCACAGATGTAGTAGCAGCGGGGGGTAGGCTAGTCGTGCTAGGCAGAGAATAGACATCCCAGTCTGGCAACATATACTGAGGAACTTGGCGGTGTGTCTGCCATTCCTCACTGCCAGGAGTAAGGTCATGAAGTTCTTCTGTGTACTGTATGTCATACCTGCTTAGCCATGTGCGATTCATTGTTTCAGTAATAACTTCTATGATTGGGAAACCACACCATAATGTGTAAGATATCAATTCAGAAGTGAATGACGGGATAGGGAGATGAGTGATTTTTCATGAGGCTTTATTGTAAGAGTGATGACGTCAACTTTAGTAAGACCTTGTTCAGCATGTCAGCACCAGGTGCAGCTTATTTTGAGCTGGTAGTTATATTTCAGCATGTTTGCGCAGACTTACTTGCTGAGCTTACAGCTTTAAATAGATTTTGCTCTCATGTGGTTTAACTACATGACTTAAACATCTAGCTACTGGTTGGGGTCTCTATGTGGTCTGAATGAACAGTGGGGGGAGTACTGTGGTAGAGAATAGGTTAAAGTGAAAGCTCTGTTCCTACAGAACAATTGTAACGTAGTCCTATTCAAATTAAGTTGTTATGGATGAACAATAGAGATGTCATTGACATCTAGTTGATGGCAATTTTAAAAAATCATTGCAACTAGAGCTAAAATCTTCAGACTGTTTACAGAAGTAGACAGACTTGATTTTTATGAGCGAGAAAGGTAGCCCTGGGGTGAGTTGGAGGGAGGGGAGAGGCTTATTGTAGGGGTTAATATCCAGTGTCTGTCTCTGATGTCCCACCTGCCTCCAAACCACACCCTCAAAAGACAGGCCACTAGCTAGTCCTCTGTCCCTCTCTGGCTGCATACACAGTTGTGCACACTTTTGGGTACTGGATCTGTCAGGTGGCATATCGTGAGTATAGTAAGGGGGCATTTTACCCAGAAAAGCTTGAATATTCTCAGTTAACCTTATGTCATCTTAATTTCGTGTGTCTGTTTTTGCTTTGTTTTTCTTCTTGCAAAGAGGATTTTGTGTGTGTGTGACCGAAGAGGTACTTTTGGACTGTGGTCTTAGGTGGAACCTGTAAAAATAATTTGTCTATTTGTTGTTCACCTCATAAGTTTTTTGTAAGGTTGGCATCTTACGGACTGTCCATTTATCAGAATTTAGTTGAGCCATTTTTAAAGTTCTCTTGATTTGAAGCTTATTTATGTAAATGGACTCGTATGATTGAGAGAAACTGGTCTTATGGGGTGGCTTTTGAATTGACTTGGTTCTGTTATATGGAGTAGACTATAAGGATTCCCTTTGCCACCATCCAGTATGAACAGGAACATTTTAACAGGCTCTGTTTGACTGACTGAGGATGGATGGAGTGGGTGATGTAAGGGTCTATTTTGTTCTGGTGTTCCAGGGGACAGTAATGCTGTACACTCTAGCCCTGAAGGAGATGGATATGATGTCTGTCTGATGCCCACACTCACACAAAGCTTTTTGAAAAGAGCAACAGGTTAAGAAAGGCATTTTTCTGTTAGGAAGATAAACGGACGGACGGACGGAACAAAGACTGATAGCCAGGTACTTACTGACAGCAGCAATATATTTTAGGGCCTGATGGAAAGATTGATGGACTGAAACAGTTGTGGGTTTCACTGGGGATGTTAACCAGACGGGAGTGGGTTTAGAAATTACACTGGGGCTTTGTGAGTCCGTGTCGAGCTGTGATGATGACAGGGCCTAAACTTGGCTCCTGGTGGAGGGGCCCTTGGGAGCAGGCATTTTTTGGAGTAAGGAGGCTGAGTGACAGGAGGTTGGAATGAGAGGCTGACACATACGCATAGGCATTGTCAGTTTCCAGACACCCGCCTCTCAGTAGACTCCAGCCGGAGAGGCCCATATGCTGGGTGTAGAATGTATAGGTCTCCACACATGTTACGTGCTTAGAATTATTTTCAGTCTAATGGAGGCAATATAACTAAATCTGTCATTATAATTCAAACTATTCACATTATTGCTAAGCATAGGAGAAGTTGTGTTGAGTCTTGGTCTGATTTGCTCCAGAAAGAGGGGAAACAAATGTCCACCCTCAATCTTCCAAAAACACATTTTGTATTGATGTAATGATACTGTGGCAGCCTTGGGGTTTGTGTATTTCTGTCTGTAATGTTTATGAGTGAGCGTATGCTGTGTCTAACAATGGAGGCATCTCTTTCCTTCTCAGACGCTTTGTTGGCGGACCTGGAATCCACGACGTCCAACATCTCCAAGCGTCCTGTGTTCCTGTCTGAGGAGACCCCCTACTCCTTCCCCACTGGAGGGAACTCCTACCAGGATGTGTCAGTCCCTCCCCCGGTGCCGCCCCCTCCCTCGGCTGAGGCTCTGAATGGCTCTGTGATAGACTCCCTGGACTCCCACCACTCCTCCCAACAGGTCAGTCATACTGTACCTCAGAACCACAACTCAGACTCACAAATCTCATTAATTAAATGGCTTTTCATTACTAAATGTAGTGAATGTTCTCTTCTCTGCAGTCCTTGGGTTCAGCTCCAAAGAGCTCATGGTCCAAGGACAGTAGCAGCCCGCCCCTGTCCCACATTGAAGAGGACCACGTCTACAGGTAGGCAGGAGGGCCATAGGAACAGATCTCTAGGAAGGGACCCCCACTGGGAGACTACTCTACCGTCTGTCACTGTTTTATACTTGACCACAATTGACACCCATTGTCTCTCTGCCTCTGTCAGTTTCCCCAACAAACAGAAGTCTGCTGACCAGTCTGCGGCTGCCATGAGCTCAGCTCTGGGCAGTAACCTGTCAGAGCTGGACAGGCTGCTCCTGGAGCTCAACGCTGTCCAGCAGAACTCTCCCTCCTTCCCCACCACAGGTACACAGACAGCTAAACACATCCTACATCATTTTTCACTAGGTTTTGGTGTTTATGTTACCTAAGTGGCACTTATCTCAGTCATTATCTGTGCCATAGGTGGTCTTGTCTTTGCAGTATGTGTTTACTGCATGATGCTGTGATGATATCAGAGATATCATGTCCCACTGTCCTTTCTACCCACAGAGGAAACCGCCCCACCCCTGCCGTCCTGCAGCATAACCCACTATGTGCAGGAGAACGGGGGTCCCCCTGACATCATGGTGAGCCCTCCGTCTCAGGAGAAGACCAAACTGAACGGGACCCAGACGGTGGAGGAGGACCGGCCCACTGTGGAGAGTCTGCTGGATGAGCTGGAGGTCTCTGTACCCACTCCCAGGTAAGCAGTTTGGCAGTTACTCCTATTCAAGAATCACAGATGGACAAGGAGGAGTTTGTCATCAGCTTGAATTATAGGATACAAGCTAGCTAGCAATGAGATCATGTTAATCTACTGTAGCCTGGGTTTTGGTGCTCTTACTGATCGCATATTAGGATGAAATGAATAATGACTAGTTTTAGGAGGTCAATGTTGGATTGTGTGTGTGATCATGTTTTTGTTTGTGTATTCTGCAGCCCCAGCCCCTCTGTCCTTCACAGTGAGTTGGACTCTTCCTCTCAGCAGCAGGCCAGAATGTCAGCTTCCTGTGCCACACGTGAACTTGATGAGCTCATGGCCTCCCTTTCCGACTTCAAGGTGTGTGTGTGTGTGTGTGTGTTTCTTACTCTTGTCCTCTTATCACCTCATGAAAAATCCTTTAATAGATTCCTTTAATTCTATATCTATTTTCTGATCTGATTGTTTCTCTTTATCTTCCTCTTCTTGTGGTGTCCCTTTCCTCTCTCCTGCCTGTCCTGTCCTCTAGCCTGTCCTCGGCTCCTTGGGGTCTATGAACTCTGACCTCCAGCTTGATCAGGCAGGAACTTCCCCCAGCATCACTCTGGAGGTCCATCCTCTTCCACGTACCCCCTCCTCCCTCTTAACCTCTCAACCTGCCTGTGACTCTCCTCTCTTCTCTCTACCTGCCTGGGAGCTGCACATAGAGGAGGAATGTGGGGACTCAGGGGGGGCAGTGTCCCCTCCACATCCCTCATTATCAAGCCCTCCCCCAGCAACTGTAACCTCCCAGAGCCCCCTGTCATTTGCAGAGAGTGACCCAGAACCAAATGTGGTCATCGACGTCTCTGCCACCATGCTGTCCTCTCGTCAGAAATCTCTGGTAGTCCTCAACCACTCCAACCCTTCACCTAGCACATACGCCAGTCCTCCTAATGCTGCTAAACCATCACTGAGCTCAGCCAGCGTCACCCTGGACCATAACCTCTTAAAATCCCCTAGTCCCTCTCTAGAACTTGGTACAACTCCCCCTACTGTTACCAAGAGCCCTAGTCCCATAACTGACATTAATCTACGTTTCTCTACTCCAACCACTACCAAGAGTCTTAGTCTTGTTCCTGTCTCTACTTCCAGGACCCCTTCACCTCTCCCTGCTTCTGTCACCAAGTCCCCTACCTCTCCTCTCACTGCTTCTAAAGCCCCCTCACCATCTCTGGTCATGTCTCCCAAGTCTCCCTCTCCCCCAGCTCTCACCAGCCCCAAGATCTCCAGGACAGTGCTGGAGCCAGTCCCTGCAGCTGAGCCCTCTCTGGATGAAGCCCTGGATAAGCTGCTGGCCATGAGTTTCACCAACATGGAGAACAATAGAGTCCCTACTGAGGCACTGCAGCTGAAGGGAGGGGCACCTCAGCTGAAGAGGGAAGTGGTGCATGAGGAGCCCATCATGCCCTTAGACAGAAGGGAGGTGCAGCCAGACACCACCGGGAGTATCCGGGATGGGGCAAGTACCCGTGAGGGGACAATTACCCGTGATGGGTCAGTAATGAGTGGACACATAGATGGCCACAGGGAGCTCATGGACTGGGCTGATGTGGAGCTGAACATGTGTCTCCAAGATGGACTGGATGGTAGTATGACTCCTTATACAGAGAGACCTTATACAGATGGCAGCATGACCCCTATGACTGAGGCCAGCTGGATGGATGACTCCCTGGATGGCTCCTCCTGCCCTGGAACTCCTGATGCTGCCATGGACCTGCCTCTGCTGCAGCCTGCCACCATGGACAGGGTCTCTGCATCTGGACATGTATGGGACTGCCCTCACCACCACACTGTACTGTTCTGCACAAACACGCATAGAAACAACAGAGTTAAATGTTATTCATACAATAACATAAGACATTTTTGCCATCTCAGAAAGTTGTTTGATACCAAAACATCTGTTTGAGAAATTGTGTGTATATATAGATACTGTCCTTACAATCTGCACACCTGGATGTTTGCTGCTACTGCAGTCTCTTATTGTTGACTGCCTGGTAGTGCTGAGCGATTAACCAAAATGTTGTTTATTTTCTGTTTGTTTTTAACAACTAATTGACCAATGTCTGTTCAGTTATTTGAATTCTGTAATTTTTGTTTTCTTTAGCTCGAGGCGCAGTTTCTCTAGAGATAAATCAGATCAAGCCCGAACTGTGCGATGTAGTAGGGAGTTGTAGTTTCCAACAGGCCAATATTCTACATAGTCTGGCACAGAAAACCTGGTAATTAACTACAATGACCATAATCTATTGCGCCCCCGCCTACTTGTCCATTAATAATCAAAACCGAAAACCGTGATTATTTGTTAATGATCGAACCGACCTCAAAAAGCACTAATCGCTCAGCACTACGGCCTGGCTGTGACCTTTGTTGGCATGTCTTGTTAAAACCAAACAATTTGAGTTGTGACTGCATCCTATGACTGCCTCACTTGTTGCATCAGCATGACGCCCCCATCTTGCACAACTATGTTCTGCTTAACGGTCAGATAACATATGGGACTGTGTGATGGGTGGGAGGTGAGATGGGGTCTGAGCATGTAAGACAGCATGGAGTGTGACTCTGAGCTCACTGACACATTCCTTTGGACATGCCTTTACCCTCCGCTGCTACATACCCTTGAGGAGATGGCTGCCTTTGGCTTTGAGTGAACTGGAATGGTGGTTCATCTGAATGGACTGCTTCCTCTGAACTGAACCACTCACCTGGCCTGCGGTATTGTAAATGGATCACAGTGGAGTCCTGATGCTCATTCTCCTTCTAGCTTAAGTCAGTGATTAGGCGCACCAAGGAGACACCCAACGTGCACCCCATGAACCGAGAGGGTCACCCCCGGAGGGGGCGGATGGGCCCCATCATCGTCAACAAGAGCAGCTCACAGGACCGGCTCATAGAGGAGCTGCAGGGGAAGCTGGGGATTGGCCGATTGGCTGACCGCCGGCGCAAGCAGCCAGACGATTGGCTCACTGAGGGCATCATCGTCATGTCCAAGCCACAGCGTTTCCGTGGCGATGGGGCCGCGAATGAGGTGGACAAGGTTGGCCTGGATACGATCACAACAGGATCACACCATCCTAGATACTATTACACATTTCTCATGATTTCTTTAACCTTTTCAAGTTTCACTTTCCTTTCTTTACCATTAATTTTCTCTCTCACTCTCTGGTTGTCCCCGTCTGTGTGTCTCTTCTCCTCAGATCATTATTACCCCAGAGTCACCTATACCTCAGAGGAGGGTCATTTCCCCACCCCAGTCTCCCCCAGCCCCTCGTCACCCTCCTATTATAGAAGAACCCAGGAGACCCCCACCTGTTAAGCAGATCCATGCTCCCCTACCTCCTCCCCCTCCCCCCTGTCCCCCTCCTCAACCTCCTCCACCCCAGGAACCCATCCCTCCCCCACCTCCGCTTGTACAACCCCCACCGGTCCCAGTACAGCAGCCCCCTGCCCCCAAGCCAGAGCCCCCTCTGCCTGCTCCCCCGGCCCCAGCGCCCCCTCCAACGGTGAAGTCTGCACCACCACCACCTCCCCCCAAGGTCCTGGTGTCCATTGGCTGTCAAACAGAATACGATCCAATCTTCCCTCCAATTGAGGCATGGATCTCTCTCTCTCCTTTCTCACTGGCTTCAGTTTCCTTTAGTTCAGCCACAGTTTAGTTATTTGTTTAGATTTATTTTATTTGATGCTCTGGTGTCTGTCCTCTCACTCTCCATCTTTTGACAGATCATGGCCCAGGGGAAAGGTGGCCCAGGAGGCCCCCCAACACAGGTCAACAAGCTGGACAACATGCTCGGCAGCCTGCAGTCTGACCTCCATAAACTGGGTGTGCAGACTGTGGCCAAGGGAGTGTGTGGGGCCTGCTGTAAACCCATCGTGGGACAGGTGAGGGGCTTGGGTGGGCCATAGATCAGACTCTGGTGGCCTTTCTAAGATCATGCTCTTTTTAACTTCAAGTTACTTTCAATTGAATTGCAGAGATTTGTTGGCATGGTAAATGTAAATATACTGTCTGTTTGTCCAGGTGGTTACTGCCATGGGGCGCACGTGGCACCCAGAGCACTTTGTGTGCACACACTGTCAGGAGGAGATAGGCTCCAGAAACTTCTTTGAGCGTGACGGAGCGCCCTACTGTGAGATGGACTACCACAACCTGTTCTCCCCACGCTGCCACTACTGTAACGGACCTATACTAGACGTAAGTAAACACCTGTACTACACTGAACAAAAATATTAACGCAACATGTAAAGTGTTGGTCCCATGTTTCATGAGCTGAAATAGAAGATCCCAGAAATTTTCCATACGCACAAAAAGCTTATTTCTCTCATTGTGTGCACAAATTTGGTTACATCCCTGTTAGTGAGCATTTCTCCTTTGCCAAGATAATCCATCCACCTGACAGGTGTGGCATATCAAGAAGCTGATTAAATGGCATGATCATTACACAGGTGCACCTTGTGCTGGGGACAATAATAGGCCAATCTAAAATGTGCAGTTTTGTCACACAACACAATGCCACAGATGTTTGAAGTGTTGAGGGAGTGTGCAAATGGTATGCTGACTGCAGGAATGTCCACCAAAGCTGTTGCCAGATAATTTAATGTTCATTTCTCTACCATAAGCTGCTTCCAACGTCATTTTAGAGAATCTAACTGGCCTCACAACCGCAGACCATGTGTAACCACGCCAACCCAGAACCTCCACATCCGGCTTCTTCACCTGCGGGATAGTCTGAGGCCAGCCACCCAGACAGCTGATGAAACTGTGGGTTTGCACAACAGAAGACTTTCTGCACAAACTGTCAGAAACCGTCTCAGGGAAGCTTATCTGCATGCTCATCGTCCTCACCAGGGTCTAGACCTGACTGCAGTTCGACATCGGAACCGACTTCAGTGGGCAAATGCTCACCTTCGATGGCCACTGGCACGCTGGAGAAGTGTGCTCTTCACGGATGAATCCCGGTTTCAACTGTACCGGGCAGATGGCGTTGTATGGGCGAGCGGTTTGCTGATGTCAATGTTGTGAACAGAATCCCCATGGTGGCAGTGGGGTTATGGTTTGGCCAGGCATAAGCTACAGACAACAAACACAATTGCATTTTATCGATGGCAATTTGAATGCACAGAGATACCGTGACGAGATCCTGAGGCCTATTGTTGTGCCACTCATCCGCCGCCATCACCTCATGTTTCAGCATGATAATGCACGGCCCCATGTCCCAAGGATCTGTACACAATTCCTGGAAGCTGAAAATGTCCCAGTTCTTCCATGGCCTGCATACTCACCAGACATGTCACCCACTGAGGATGTTTGGGATGCTCTGGATCGACGTGTACAAAAGCGTGTTCCAGTTCCCATCAATATCCAACAACTTCACACAGCCATTGAAGAGGAGTGAGACAACATTCCACAGGCCACAATCAACAGTCTGATCAACTCTATGCAAAGGAGATGTGTTGCACTGCATGAGGCAAATGGTGTTCACACCACATATTGACAGGTTTTCTGATCCATGCCCCTACTTTTTTTTTTAAGGTATCTGTGACTAACAGATGCATATCTGTATTCCCAGTCATGGAAAATCCATAGATTAGGGCCTAATGCATTTATTTCAATTTACTGATTTCTGTATATGAACTGTTTACGGCTGGGACCGCAAGTTTATGTCCCAGATTCCTGATAAGTAGCAGTTAGCTGCTAGCCATCATTAAAACGAAGCAGGCTAACGCTAGCAGTGTTAGCCCACCTCAGTTTTTATCCACGGCTGGGCACAAATGCTTCAGGTGTGAGGTGATTTCCACACAAACACAAGATGAAGATAAGGTGGAACTGGAAAATGGACAGGGATTTGTCTGCCCTAAATGCACCACCATCAAGCAGCTTAGGGAAGAGATCCTCCGGCTGTTAGCTCAGCTGCGAGGAAAGGATAACCTGCTTTCTAAGTACACCCCAAGCAAACCAAATCTCAGTTTTAAATGCCTCCTATAGCAAAGTTGTCGATGAGTCGGGCAGCGTTGATCTGTCCCAATCCAACGGACAGATGTTAAGCTCAACTCTGTGGCCCATGGGAGACTGGACACTCGCAAGGCATAGGAGATTGGGAAGGCAGCTGGCCACCCTTCATCTATCCGAGAAGAGCCGATCCAGCTATCAAACAGCTTTTCCCCGCTTGAGACTGACCTACCAGCCCCGGGAGTCAGCACAGATCCAGCTGGCTCTTTGCCCTAAACGAGTACCTGAAGAAACTTTGCAATGACAGGAATGTCTCTTTTTGTGCCAAAGGGTGCGTTCGTAGATTCACTCTGGAGTGCCAGAGAGCGCTCAGGGCGTTGTCAGATTGTCCGTTTGTAAATTCCGAGCGTTTCCCTCTCGGAGCGTTCAGAGCGCACACTTGACGCTCTGGCTAAGGAGTAGGGTTGATCAGAGCGTTCAGACCTCACAACGGCAGTCAAGCACCCAAGCTAACTGGCTAAAGTTAGCTAGCATGCTAGCTACTTCCAGACATAAATGAGAGAACACCTCACTCTGACAATTATTCTCGCCCTAGCAGAGCTGGTTAGGCTGTTTTCATGTTATCCAGAGCGTTGGTCGTTGGTGACTGTAACTGTGCTGCTGGCAACAATTTAATAAAACATTTTTGCAGAGGTTTACTGACACCGGCCATATTCAACAGGTGTTGAGTATTCGTAAATTCATCAGTTATTCTGCGCTCTGGCACACTCAAACGAGAGTGCTCTGAAATCAGAGTAGATGGCCAGATCGAATTTACGAACGCACCCACATTTTATTTGCTGTGGGAGTAACCAGCACTTTTTAAAAAGGTGGGATTCACCCTAACCGCAGAGGTTCCAGGATTATTTCCAGCAACATCGCAAACTGTTTTATAGACTGACGGACAGGGTCAGGTAGTGCTCCAGTTCTCCCTGTCAGAATAAGCAACAAATGACTTGGAAAGCATATCAACTCTATGGCACTATGGTTATTGTGAGTAACGTAATTTATGTTCCTTTAACTCCGCCTTCTAGTGAGTTTATTCAAACTGTCATCTCCTACCATTCTGATAGATTGCAGATTGTCAGAAAACGTGGGTGTAACGTTAATCATTTGGTTGTTATTCCATTGGTTACCTCAAGGCAGATGCCCCAGGGGCAGAGTGGCCCATACTCATTGAATATGGCACTTTTAAATGTTAGAGTAATCACAAGTAAAACCTTTCTCGTGAATTACCTCATTACTGAGCGCAAAGTTGATTGCATGTTTCTCACTGAGACATGGCTGTCATCAGACTGTAGTGCCGCTCGTATTGAAGCCTCCCCCCCGGACTACAGCTTTTCATACTCTATCAGAAAAGGGTGAGGGGACAGCCTCTATTTTCACTAATGCTCTCAGCAGTGGTGGAAAAAGTACTCAATTGTCATACTTGAGTAAAAGTAAAGATACCTTAATAGAAAATGACTCAAGTAAAAGTGAAAGTCACCCTGTAAAATACTACATGAGTAAAAGTCTAAAAGTATTTGGTTTTAAATATACTTAAGTATCAAAAGTAAATGGAATTGCTAAAATGTACATAAGTATTAAAAGTACAAGTATAAACCATTTCAAATTCCTTATATTAAGCAAACCAGACGGCACAATTTTCTTTTCTTTTTTTTATTGGCGGATAGCCAGGGGCACACTTCAACACTCTGACATAATTTACAAACGAAGCATTTTGTGTTTAGTGAGTCCGCCAGATCAGAGGCAGTAGGGATGACCAGGGATGTTCTCTTGATAAGTGTGTGAATTGGACCATTTTCCTGTCAAAATGAAACGAGTACTTTTGGGTGTCAGGGAAAATGTATGGAGTAAAACGTACATTATTTTCTTTAGGAATGTAGTGAAGTAAAAGTTGGCAAAAATATAAATAGTGAAGTACAGATACCCCCAAAAAGTACTTAATTAGTACTTTAAAGTATTTTTGCTTAAGTACTTTACACCACTGGCTCTCAGCTGTAAGGACATTTCGTTTTTGGCGACTTTGGATATTTTGAGCATCATGCTGTACTGTTTAAATGTCAGCCACCAGTGCAGGTCATAACCATGTATAAGCCACCAAAGCACTGCCCCACTTTCTTTACTGATTTATCTGAACTATTGTCTATTGTCCTTGAACTATAAAAAAATCATTGTGTTGGGCGATTTTTTTATATTCATTTTGGCAAAGAGACTGACTCCAAGGCCATTGAATTCATGAATCTTTTGAGTTTTATGGACTTCATCCAACATGTTACTGGGCCCACCCATAACCGCGGCCATATTCTGGACCTTGTTATTACCAAGGGGCTTTCTATTGACCTATCCTCTATTGTTGATGTTGCTTTATCTGATCACCACTGTGTATTTTACTACCTTGTAGTTGATAGCACAAGGTAATAGTGACTGCATTATTAAGAAACGCTATCTTACCTCTGAAGTTGCTACAGATTTTATTGAGTGTATGAACAATACTCCACCTATTCTGCCTGCCTATTCTGCCTGCCTCACATTAATAGCAAACTAAGGGCAACCATTGATGCCATAGCTCCAGTAATGTTGAAAAAGGCCACATCCAAACAGAGAGCCCCTTGGATAAGTGAGGAAACGAATCAAATAAAGAGAAATTGCAGAAAGGCAGAGCGGAAATTGAGAAAGTAAAAGTTGCAGGTCCATTATGATATTCTGAGAGAGCAATTTTGGATATATAACAAAGCAAAAAGAAATTTTTCTAACCTGATCATCATTAATTAGAATAATTCGAGAGTGCTCTTCTTGACCGTTGATGGCCTGATAAATCCTACCCCTGCAAACCTATGTGAACTTTCTTCCACATCTAAATGTGATGAGTTTGTGGCATATTTCAGAGAAGATACCCAGCCTAATGTTAGTTATCAGTCAAGCAAGACCTGATGAGAAGTTTGAAATGTGCCCTAGCCTACCACGCAAAGGCAGTATGGATTAGTTTTCCCTGGTTGACACAGACATGCTCAGGAAAGTGATATCACAACTTAAGCCTTCTACCTGCCTTATCGATCCTATCCCCACCACCTTCTTCAAAAAAGTTTTTAATTGCATATCTGAAGAAGTGCAAGCTATTGTTAATCCCTCCCTGTTCCCCACTGCACTAAAAACTGCTATGGTGAAACCCCTTCTGATGAAAAGTAATCTAGATTCTTCATCTCTTAGCAATTATCGGCCAACCTTCCATTCTTAAGCAAAATTCTGGAGAAATTGGTTTTCAAACAGCTAAATTATTTTTTAAAGTGCCAACTCTATTTTTGAAAAATTCCAATCTGGTTTTCGTGCCCAACAAAGCACAGAGACCGCCTTAGTTAGTGGTAAATGATCTTAGAGCCAACACAGATGTCAAACAGCTCTCTGTCCTTGTACTCTTAGATTTAAATGCTGTATTTGACACTGTTGACCATGATGTTCTTCTGGACAGACTGGCGAGGTGGGTTGGCCTCTCCGGTCCAGTTCAAAATTGGTTTAAGACCTATCTAACGGGTCGAGAGTTTATTTTTTTTGTCACCCTTGGTGAACATAACTCAGAGAAAATAAATATTACATGTGGCGTTCCACAAGGTTTGATTTTGGGTCCGGTACTGTTCAGTTTATATATGTTATCCCTTGCCAGCGTTATCAGAAAGCACAGCATTGATTTTCACTGCTACGCAGACGATACACAACTTTACATTTCTGTGTCACCAGAGGGTTTTAGCTCCACAGATAAATTATTAGACTGTATTAGTGATTTAAATACTTGGATGGCTCACAACTTCCTCCAGCTAAATCAAGACAAGACTGAGGTACTTATTGTTGGAGCCAAAGAACAGAGCGAATCTAGCCGCACATTTTAATTCACGGGCAATAAAGATAAAACACCAGGTAAAAAACCCTAGGTGTTATTTTAGATTCTGAACTAAATTTCTAATCACACATTAGGAATGTGACCAAAATAGCTTTTTACCACCTGAGGAACGTTGCAAGGTGCAGACATTTCTCTCTGACTGATACAGAGACTCATCCATGCTTTTATTACAAGCAGTCTTGACTACTGTAATGCTCTCCTGTCTGGTCTACCCAAGAAAGCCATTGGTCAACTGCAAAATGCTGCAGCACGGGTACTGACCAAGACCAGACGGAGAGCACACATTACACCGGTTTTAAGGTCTCTGCACTGGCTGCCTGTGAGTTTTAGAATTAATTTTAAGGTTCTTCTATTGGTTTTTAAATCAATCCACAATTGTGCACCCCAATACATGTCAGACATGCTTTTAAGTTATGTACCTAGTAGGTCCCTCCGGTCCTCTGGCACTGGCCTTTTAACTATCCCAAAGCCTAGGACCAAGAGGCAGGGAGAGGCAGCCTTTAGTTATAATGCCCCCGGCTTCTGGAATAGCCTGCCAAAGAACCTGAGGGGGGCCGAAACTGTGGACATATTTAAAAGAGATCTTAAAACACATATTTTTAGCTTTGCTTTTCCTTAGGTTGCTTTTTAGTTGTTCAGTTTGTCATTCTTTTGTGTTTTATCTTATGTTTGTGTAGTAAATATTTCAGCTTTTATTTTAATTGTTTATTACATTTTTCCTGTAAAGCACATTGCGTTGCATTCCATGTCTGAAATGTGCTGTATAAATAAAGCTTGATTTGATTTGTTCAGTGTATATTATTACTACATAGGCAGTTCAGTGTCAGCTAGCATAGAGTTACTGTTCCTATGTTTATGTTTACAGAAAGTTGTGACCGCGTTGGACAGGACATGGCATCCTGAACACTTCTTCTGTGCTCAGTGTGGATCATTCTTTGGCCCAGAGGGTGAGTTTTACCCATTCTTGGAGCTCACTTGAAATGACCATTTCTATAGTGAGGTGCAGAACTCATGATCTGTATGCGTCTTCTGAAGGCTTCCATGAGAAGGACGGGAAGGCGTACTGTAGGAAGGACTACTTTGACATGTTTGCACCTAAATGTGGCGGCTGTGCCCGAGCCATCCTGGAGAACTACATCTCTGCGCTGAACTCCCTTTGGCATCCAGAGTGCTTTGTATGCAGGGTCTGTAATCAGCCTATTTCACTTTCTATAAGGGCATTCATGTTGAAGTGTCCTGACTTGTACTTACTCATTACTCTCCCCTCTCCCTCTGTTTGGGTATGCAGGAGTGCTTCACCCCTTTTGTGAATGGGAGTTTCTTTGAGCATGATGGGCAGCCCTACTGTGAGGTGCACTACCACGAGCACCGCGGCTCCCTCTGCTCTGGCTGCCAGAAGCCCATCACCGGCCGCTGCATCACGGCCATGGCCAAGAAGTTCCACCCGGAGCACTTTGTCTGTGCCTTCTGCCTCAAGCAGCTCAACAAGGGCACCTTCAAGGATCAGAACGACAAGCCCTACTGCCAAGGCTGCTTTGTGAAGCTCTTCAGTTAGGGAGTGGATTTTCTATGCCTGGAGATGTGTGTGTGTGTGTGTGTGTGTGGCTCACAAGCGTGTATCGGGAAGTGTCTGTGTAGCTCTGGTAGTGTGTGCAAATCAGATTGTGTGTGTGTTTCAATCGTTTTAGAGGGATGTCTGTATACTGCTGGTGTGTATGGCGAAAGTGTATGTGTGTGTGTTTCAGGTAGTATGTGTGAGAGATTCCAGCATTCTCCTTTCAGCCCTTGAAGTGTAATGGACAATCTCACCAGGTCTATGCCTGTGCTCTCTCTGTGATGCTCAGAATAGTGTGTGATTTCAAGCCCAAATAGTTTTGCCACTGTTTTTGCAGTCAGTGTAAATGCTTGCTGAACATTGTAAGAACACATGGAATACGTACATGGAAGTGTGTTTGAGGTTGCTGCTCACTGGTTGAGTGTGTCTCTTGGAAACCATTTGAAATGTGTCATGTTATTAGATCAGGGAGCAGTTGACCTGTCATTGTTTAGTTTTTATATCAGCTGAGGCCTTTTTTCAACTGCTAAAGCAAAGGCCTTGGTGACATTTCTTTCTCTTGCTGTCTGAGTAACAGAGAACAGATGGATATAATGATGTCATTGTAGCTTTGACTGGAAATAGGCTGTGGGTCAGTCATTATTTTAGTCGTGTCATCAGACCCTTGTGGACTCATTTTCACAAACACGGCCTTGTGACACACAATCATTAACACCTCCACACAAGCATTTTGTGTTTTTGACAAACATACTAATGCTGACATGTTACAATTTGATTTTATGTGTAGGAACATTTCTATAAAATGTATGTGAGAAAGATATTAATTTACAACAAATAATATTTGACTCCCTGTTTGGAAAATAGGAGTCACATATAAGGACAAATGGGCAGATGGTTAATATTGTTACTTTGTCACCTTCTCTACTGCCTACTCAGTCCTTTAGAGCTTAACCCTTAGTTGGACTGGTTTGGAGTTTCCTTTCTGTTCAGAAAGTGCTCATGCAGTATAAAAGAGCATGCCATGATAAACAATTGAATTTATTCTGCAGACAGGAAACGGTTACATTTTACTGTGAGAATATTGTATACAAAGCGCTGGTCAGTTAATAGTTTGAATAACCACTCATTAAGAGATATCCTCTAAGAAATGTCATAGCAGAGATGCATTTCTATTTTTCAATATCTGTGACATTGCTGAGCCAATGTGAAGTTACTGTGCATTGAGTTTCACTTTTTGTAAAATAAATAGAAAAATACTGCACAAGGTTAACCCCTTATGTACGTACACACAGATTATATGCAAACAATACTGTGTGCAACTGTAAACATTTAACTCGACAACCCCTTGACTCTATCCAAGTGTGTGCTTTCAAGGAATAGGCCTATCTATTTTTGTGCCAATATCAATGCAATGTATTTTACACTGGGGAGACCAGCAAGGTATCCTACTGTTTATAGACTGGGAGTCTCGGACTATCTCTTCAGATTTCTGTCAGTGTGAGTCAACTGGATAATGTGTGTTGATATTGGTCTGATAGTGGTCTCTGAGAGTGTGCACTGTGCAGGATCTGCTGTACACCAGTTGGGTTTGTGGGCTTGTATTCTTATCTATCATGTAATTTTATTGGGCCTGTATCTTGTTCAGGGATTTACACCCAGAGCCTGTAAATCTCTGTTCATAATGTTTTATTTAAATCATTTAACCATTTGTCTACTCAGAATCATGCTGTTATTTAACCAACATAACTTTTTTCTTGAAATTGTGTCCCTTGTCACCTTTTCTCCTTTTCATTTGTGATGTCATAGTACTGAATACTGATCCAACTCATTTCATAGGCTATGCTAAAAAAAAAGAATCTACCCAAGTGTGTATTATTTGTGATCATGTTTTCCTTTGGAGAAACAAAGGCAATTTTGCCTATTTATCTAGGAATGGATTCTGCACACTCTATTGGACCACACTATCCATCTGTGACTGTGGTGAAATCTAGAGTAGAATGTGATGGCATTATGTTCATAACAATGGTGGGGTAAAACTTTTTTGGCAGTGATATTGTGGTGTGAGGAAAGCATGAAGTACAGACTAAGTTATGCCCTAGAAGCAGCTTGTTTCTCATTCAGTTTGTCCCTGGCCTTGACATGAGAAACACTCTATTCACGCCACTTCGATACAGCAACAACCAGAAGTGAATTTTTCATAGCAGATCAGGTAAAGGGTTAGGGTTAGCGAAAATGCTATCCTAACCGGCTACAAAAACCACTTCCGGTTGTTGTTGTATCGAAGTGGTGTGGAAAGTGTGTCCCGTGGAGTGAAATCATACAGGTGGTGGATCTTTTGATGGTCCTTGCTATCCGGAATCTTTGGGACGTCCCAACTCTGACGTTACCCCATTGAAGTTGAAATGTAAAATGGTTAAGGCTAGGGTAGGGACGTTCCAGGCATCCCTGATGGCAGTAAGCATATTTTGAAACTCATCTTTGCAAAAAATACACAACCTAGTTAACTCTGCATATACTATTGTAGAAGGTAAATCTAAATTGATTCCTTGTCTAAACTTTCCACACACCAAGGTCAAAAGAGTAGGCTAGGGTTATGTCAAGGCGGGACACACTCTTTTGATGCCACTTCAATACGGCTTCGATACAGCTTCGACCGGAAGTGATTTCCGTAGTAGGTTAGGAGAGCGTTTTCGTTAGTGACCCTAACCAGAGAGGAAGAGGCGACGCGAGAGGTTTTACTCCACCCAAAATCTGTCCACGAAAATAAGACTTCTTCTTCAATGAGGTTTAACGGCGGTTGGCATCCAATTTGTTGCATTACCGCCACCTACTAGACGAGTTCAACTCCCTTATCTTTTCTAGAAAAATAAAATAAATCAAATCAAATTTTATTGGCCACATGCGCCGAATACAACAGGTGCAGACATTACAGTGAAATGCTTACTTACAGCCCTTAACCAACAGTGCATTTATTTTTAATTAAAAAAGTAAAATAAAACAAAAAAGTGTTGAGAAAAAATAAAATAACAGTAGGGAGGCTATATATACAGGGGGGTACCGGTGCAGAGTCAATGTGCGGGGGCACTGGCTAGTTGAAGTAATATGTACATGTGGGTAGAGTTAAAGTGACTATGCATAAATAATTAACAGAGTAGAAGCAGCGTAAAAAGATGGGGTGGGGGGGCAGTGCAAATAGTCCGGGTAGTCATGATTAGCTGTTCAGGAGTCTTATGGCTTGGGGGTAGAAGCTGTTGAGAAGTCTTTTGGACCTAGACTTGGCACTCCGGTACCGCTTGCCGTGCGGTAGCAGAGAGAACAGTCTATGACTAGGGTGGCTGGAGTCTTTGACAATTTTGAGGGCCTTCCTCTGACACCGCCTGGTATAGAGGTCCTGGATGGCAGGAAACTTGGCCCCAGTGATGTACTGGGCCGTACGCACTACCCTCTGTAGTGCCTTGCGGTCGGAGGCCAAGCAGTTGCCATACCAGGCGGTGATGCAACCAGTCAGGATGCTCTCGATGGTGCAGCTGTAGAGTTGTTTGAGGATCTGAGGACCCATGCCAAATCTTTTCAGTCTCCTGAGGGGGAATAGGCTCAACTTCAAAACTCAAAACAACAGGACAATGACTCTTCTGTTTCTGCTACCCCAGTAATCACTCCTCTCAATGGCACCCTTTTCTTAAGAGCGAAACAATTCTTTCCCCCATTTGTTTAACTCTGAGCGCCTTCTCCCTCTGCCCAACAGAAACACAAACAATTATCACTAGACCACTTCTGGTTACCCTCACTGATTCCACTATACCCAACGCTTTTTTCACCCATCTTGAAACCACAAATGGATCAACCAAAAGGCAAGGATCCACTTATTCCACAAACTTCACTCCTACTGTCACAGACTCATCTTTATCTTGACCCTCTGCACAAGCCTCTGGCTCCCAGCACTTCACCACACCTACCACCAACGATACTTCACCCTCTTCCATTTCTACTCCTGTCTTCAGCTCACTTTGCTTACATATCCTACCACTCTTCTTTAACAAACCTTCTCCCCGCCATTTTTTACCGACTCAAACTCAGTCTTCCTCCCTCTCTCTCAGACCTCCTCTGCCTCTCTTTTTCCCTCCATTCCTCCTCATTCATCCAAGTATACGTCTCCTTATGATAATACTGCATTTCTCCTGACCAATATCTATTTCTTGCCTTCTCAAAGGACTCAATTTTCCCCCTCCTTTCCCTTCCGGCGTCTATTCTATCCTCGGCCTCACAGTCCACAATGACCTCTTCATTGCTCCCTCCGGTGTCTATTCTATCCTCTGGACTTGTGTCGACATTGGGTCTTTCCAGTGGAACAAATTTGGTCCGACAACATAGTCCCCAATCGCACGCGTATTCATTCATGATTCCGGTCTCCTCCACAAAACTCTCCCCCGCCGGAAGCCCGCGTGCTGTGCTCACTCTGGACACACGAAGTGATTCCTTTTTGTATGGAGGTCAATATCTAGGTTTCCATCCAATTGACAACAGATTTTCATGCAAAATTATAAAATCCGCATAAAAACCAATATGCGCATTTTCGAGATGTGTTCATCTAATTAAGTTGTTGCAGGATAAAAGGCTAGCGTGATGAGGTAGAGCACATTACAAAAAATTTAATGGGTTTTGATTGCATTTTTAACTCAACTGGCGAGATCATTTTTATTTGTCAAATGGCAGCAAAGCATCGTTCATGTCACCAGAATAAGTTCCTGATATTTATTGGAAAGCAGTATCAAGCTCATCACCGTGCACTTTCACCACCTGTGAAGAAGTTCTCATCATAACGTATTTCTCTGTAGCATGGTTTCCCGGGTCATAGTGGGAGGACAACACACAACATATCATCGCGCCAATCAAATTTACTTCGATATGATGTTATTATATAAATATTTGGGTATAATAGCCTTCACCTTCATTTCTCGCATAATTAATTTTACTGACACAAAAAGATCCCACCTTGTCTA